GCTGAAGTAGCTTTAGCTTCTTAGTGCTGTGCTTGAACCCACTGCGCCACCAGGGAGGGCCTGTACCTCATCTTTTTAATCCAGTCATCTACTTTTGGGCATTTAGGTTGTTTCAATCTCTTTCCAATTGTAAATAAAGCAGAAATAAACAGGGATGGAGGTGTCTTTTTGAATCAGTGTTTTTGTACCTTTGGGTAGACACCTAAGAGTGGGATTGCTAGGTCATATGGAAGCTCCATTTTTAACAGTTTGAGAAACCTCCCAACAGTTTTCCATAGTGGTCTAACCCAAGATTTTTTACTGCAATGTGATTCCTGTCCCTTGGATTGTAAGGTTTATGTAAGTAACCCTGGAAACAGTTGTATGAGATTTGGAATGAGCTTTTGGCTATTATGGAGGTGTCTGGGTGCTAGAACCTCCTGGCTTTATTTTTGTAGAATATGAGGATCCCAGTCATGCAGTTGATGTTGTCAGAGTGCTATCTGGGAGAACACTGGTGGTTGCCATGTAAAAGTGAGACTGTCCTATGAAAAAGAAATAGAAGTTGTGATCTGTCCCCTTCTTGGGGTTGATGGAGAAGATTCTCCCATAGTAGAGTAGGTCCCTTTCTAGAGATAGAAAAGAGATCACTGTCTCGGAAGAGAAATCCCATCCCGCACTCTAGATCAAATGAAAGGAAACTGAAGCGCAGTCTGCAAGAGGAATGGGCTACAAGAAATAACTCCCTTTGAAAGGCGTATGTACAGAAACTCAGGTTGTGTCTGAGACTTCATAAGTCCATTTTCAAGATGTTTTTAGCTTTCACCTTTGTCTCTTGGGACAGTGATACATAAAGATGTAATTTTCCATGGATTGAAATGGGTCACAGGAGGCCCTCCCTGGTGGTGCAACAGGTTAGAGCACAGCACTGCAAGCTGTCTGCAGCCACTTCAGTGTGAGTTTGATCCCCGGCCCCGGAGGTGACCACATGGTGCGGCAGACCTCTCCTGACCCACCCACTGCTCCACTCAGCAATGTACTTCATCAATCTGCGTTCTGCTTCCCACCCCTGCACTGGTACCCCAGGTCTGTATGAATGAATAAATAAATCTTAAAAAAAAAAATGGGTCACAGGAGGTTTATGATGTCAAGGCTCATTACAATGTTCCCTTAAGCAAAACTGAATTGGCTTTGAATTTGCACAGACTAATACTAAAACATCTAAATTTTACCTAGCTATGAAGTGGATTTAATATAATGGAAACAACAACTGGCAAAACTGAACCAAGGCCTTCTTTTTCCACAGCAAGGATGTAGCTTTAAAGCTGTATTTAAATAAGCAATATGTAAAAGTTGCAGTGAATCCAAGCCAATAGGTAAAAATAAAACCTGCATCATTAAAATTAGATTAGAGGGTCATTTTGGTTTGTTTTCTCTCCAACTAGTCTAAACACTGGGTAGAGAATGCCTAGTTGGTTTAGAGTCTTGAGAAATTTCAAGGAAATTCTTTTACTTTTTCTTTGTCTTAAGTTCTTTATGCGATTGCTGTGTATCAGCACATAGCTATTTATAACATTCTTTAGTTGGAAATTTAAGAATATTCATGATCCAGAATCTGATCTCTGACCTCCTGCCACTTTAAGTGTATATTGTAGAGTTGAATTTTTGAGTTACTATGCAAGATTTTTCTTTTCATATTGTCATTTTATTTTGTGGTTTTTAAAGATTTACTTTATTTATGCATACAAGAACTAGGGTATAGGCCAGAGGTTTGGGCGTGGGGATGAAAGGATTCACCAGAGACAGAGTGGGGAATAGAACAGGCAGACTGACTGAAATACACTGCTGACGGGAGCAGCAGGCAAGACAGAGTTCATCTCCTCTCTGGCTGGAGATGAACTCAGGCCAGTGTGGCTGGT